CACCCCATCCCATCCCCCACCCCCAGTGACCTCACACTGCTGCAGGTACCACCCCCATCCCATCCCCCACCCCCAGTGACCTCACACTGCTGCAGGTACCACCCCCATCCCATCCCCCACCTCCAGTGACCTCACACTGCTGCAAGTACAACCTGCCCTCCATCACGATGCCCCATTGCCAAAGGGCTTGGGGGATGTGCCGGGGTTGGGGTTCATCTCTTTCCCCTTGAGGTGAATCATGTAATTGCGCCTCATCTCTCCTGTGCCCCAGCTGGCTCGGCCCGCGAGACTGAACGCGTTTGTGAAGCCCGTCGGCCTGCCCCGCGCCGGGGTGACTGTGAGTCCTGGGACCGTGTGCAGTGTTGCTGGCTGGGGCCTCACGAACGCGCGGAAACTGTCCTCTGAGCCCAGCCGGCTCCAGGAGACGGTGGTGGAGGTGCTGAGTGATCAGCTGTGCATTGAGCGTAACTTCAACCCCGCGACCATGCTGTGCGCGGGGAGGAGAGAGGAGGGCAGAAATGTGGCAAAGGTAAAACTGGGTTGTGGGGGGCAAGCACGGAGCAGGGGTCGGTGAGCTGTTCTGCAGCCGTGTCGTCTTTCCTTCTGCAGGGCGACTCCGGCGGCCCCCTGACGTGCGGCGGCGTCGCCCAGGGCATCGTCTCCTGGGGGCGTCCTCTCCCCCCTGCCATGTATACGAGAGTCTCCACTTACAGCCAATGGATCCAAGCGACCATAAGGGAGCTGCAGGCCTGAGCCGAGCCAGAAGCATTGAGGCTTTGCTTGTGGGCTTTGGAGAGGCCCTGAGGTTGGGGCCTGCTTTGCCGAGGGGCTCAGCCCCCCACGTCCTGGCCTGAGGCTCCTCCCCTTCCAGGTGGAGTCTCCTCCCCCAGCCATGATTCTCCCTGGGTAGCGCCCATCCCATCAGCACCAAGGCAGCAGAGTTAGGAGCCCGGTTCTTGGCCAGGCTAGGGCACAGCCGGATCAGGGGCAGTTAGGAGCCAAACCCTGGTAGGGACCCAGTGGGTTCTTGCTCTCCCCGGTGTGAGTCCGTCGAGAGATCCTCCCTGTAACGTCCACCTGCCGGTTCCTGCTGGAACCGCCCCCTGCCCTGTCCTCGATTGGCCTTCCCCACGCACTGGCCCCTGGAGGATCCACCCCCCAGATCACATATCAGCTGAGACCCTCTCCTGCCCAGCTCTCTTGCCCTGCTGCATTGCTCTGCCTGCTCCGTAGCCAGCAAGTAATAAAGTTACCCACAATAATGGCGCTTTATTGACACATCCATCCAGAGCTTTGCCATCCAGGGCAGCGGCTGGACCTGCCCAGGCCAGGAGGGGACGGACCTTACAGGGGGAGGCCGGATGGGGGGTAAATGCTTTTGACACCCAGGTTCTGTGACTTCCTGCAGAAGGAGGATCTGGGGGTGCGGGTGGGACCTGAACCCCTCAAGGTGTGTGGTGTACCCTTGGGCTGGGACGGTCACAAAGGCTACTCAGAGGGGACAAGCTGCTTGTGCCATTGCTTGTCCTGACTCCCAAGGCTGCTACGTCTGGAATAGAAATAGGACGGGTTCAAAATTGTTCTAGCTGCAAAAATCTACTCTTCCAATTCCCACCCACCGATCCCCATCCACCCAACCAACCACCGACCCACCCATGCCTCCATCTTTTCATCCACCAGCCTTCCCTTCCATCCATCCATCCACCCACCCACTCTCCCACCCATCTATCCTATCTTGATCTAGATACGTCTCTAAACAATATCTATCTATCTATCTATCTATCTATCCCCACACACCCCCTCTATCTATCTATCTATCTATCTATCTATCTATCTATCTATCTATCTATCTATCTATCTATCTATCTATCTATCTATCTATCTATCTATCTATCTATCTATCTATCTATCTATCTATCTATCTATCTATCTATCTATCTATCTATCTATCTATCTATCTATCTATCTATCTATCTATCTATCTATCTATCTATCTATCTATCTATCTATCTATCTATCTATCTATCTATCTATCTATCCCCACACACCCCCTCTATCTATCTATCTATCTATCTATCTATCTATCTATCTATCTATCTATCTATCTATCTATCTATCTATCTATCTATCTATCTATCTATCTATCTATCTATCTATCTATCTATCTATCTATCTATCTATCTATCTATCTATCTATCTATCTATCTATCTATCTATCTATCTATCTATCTATCTATCTATCTATCTATCTATCTATCTATCTATCTATCTATCTATCTATCTATCTATCTATCTATCTATCTATCTATCTATCTATCTATCTATCTATCCCTATACACCCCATCTATCTATCTATCTATCTAGCTATCTAGCTATCTATCTGTCTTCACACACCCATCTCTCTGTCTCTCTATTTATCTATCTAACTATCTGCATATCATCATAATCTATCTAGTTTAGAGATTTGCACATCTGTCTGTCTGTCTGTCTGAATCCATTTGTCTAAGGTCTCCTCCTACAGATTCAGATTTAGGGCCGGGGTGGTCAATGCAATTGTCATGGTTCTCCCAGGCTGGCCCCTGCTGGGCCTCTGCTGCCATTTTCACCTGCTCCTCCCCAGGTCCGGGCGCTTACGGCTCCCATTGGCTAGGTCAGGTGATGTGTGGGCAACAGGAGCTGCGCTCTCCCGTATCAGTGAAGGCGCAGGTCAATATGGGGTGTAGGGGCTACCCCTGGCCGACTGGATCTGGACCACCGGGTGATATTTGCCCACCCCTGTGCTAGGACCATCTGATTTGAGAGGTAGCTTCCTTTTCCCCTAAGCTGAAGGAAGGTCTGGCTTGGGCTGTGCCAGGGAAAAGGGACGTGCTGGGAACGGGGCTGGTTTCCAGCCCTCGGGAAGGGAGGGGGCCGAGAGTGGCGGAAGGGGATGTTCAGTCTCCACTAGGGGCAGTAACTGCAGGGGCGTCCTGTTGAGCCGTGACCACTGCAGGCCACGGGACCACCAAGGGAGCGGTGAGCTAGGGAAGGGGCTTTTCATATGGCCAGCCACTGGATCCAAATCCCTTCTCCCGGCACGGCTGGGGAGGAGCCTGGCTGGCCACTGGGCCCGCTCCCACAGCCCCCAGAGAAGATGCATGGTGGGGGAGAGGCCGCTGGAGGTGACGGCTGGCCCCAGAGAAGCCAACATCCATGGAGCACCACCAAAGGAAGCCCTTGTGTGGGCCCTCGACCTCCCAGCCCTCTGCTTTGAGTCCTGCCCCTCCCAGCCCTGCTCCAGGCTCCCCACCTCCCCCCACCTGGCTCCCCCGCTCCCAGGACACCTCGGCCGGGCCTGGGTCCTGGGATGAGGGCCACATGGGCTGGGCTGTGGGGAGGGAGAGAGAGTTACTAGTCACAGGGCCTGGGAGAACAGGGGGCTGCAGGTTGGGGCTGAGGGGCACCGGCAGAGCGCTCACCTGTCTGCTGAGCGGTGAAGGGTGCGGCGAGCCCGATCCTGCGCTGTGTGGACGTTCATCACATCAAAACGCACCCCCTTCTGGTTCCAGCGCTCCGCCACTGGTTGGGTTGCCGGGTGCACCGTGAACCAGCGGTTCTGCTCTGACCGGTACCACAGCACCTCCTCCCCGTTGAGGGCATATCTGGCGACGATTCGGACAGCACCGGTGGCATCGTGCATCTCACAGGCCTGCAGGACCTCCATGTAGCAGGGCTCTATGAGGGGAGGGAAAGTGGGTGCAAAACAGCCTCCCCACTAAGCCCTGAAACATGCCAGGAGGCAGAGACGGAGCAATGTTCTCCCATGCACAGAAACTGGAGGTCCTCATTCCCAGCCCTCCAGCCCGTACAACCCTTCAGACCCGGCTCCTCCCCCGGAGCGGAGGAGTTCTGCCTCCCAGCCAGCCTGCTCTAACTACTAGACCCCACTCCCTTCCCTGGGCTCAGATAGAACCAAGTGATCCCGTCTCCCAGAGATCCTCCCCTCCCCCTGTCATCAATTAGTATCAGTTCTGGGGTCCCCTCCCTCAGCTCCCTCCTGCCTCTTTGGAGACACCCTGATCACCCATATCCTGAGCCAGGCTCAGGGTGGGGGACCCAGCACTCACCGGCCTGTGGGGCGCTGGAGTTTATCTCCTCCACCAGGACCCGGTACGTGGTCTCCACCCAGGAGTCCCAGGCCCGGTACCAAGTTCCGATCCTGCTCCAGAACTCCTGGTTTGCTGGGCTGTGCCCGTTGCGGGGAGCCAGCCTGCCGCTGTCACTGTCATAGGCCGCCAGCACCAGGTCGTTCACCCTCAGCACACTCAGCTGGGCAGCCCGGGGGCCGCTTGCGGCGAGATGAGCTGGAAACAGGAGAGACGGAGCAGCCCTGCAGCAGGGAGAGAGCAAAGGGGGAAGAGGAGCCAGGCATCTGGGGCAGCAGCAACCCAAGGGGGCCCCACAGCACCCAGCCCTGGAGGCGTGAGACTGGTGTCCAGGTGTCCAGCACAACAGGGGGCACTTACCTGCCCAGGAGATGGAGCAGAGAGACAGGAGCCGGAGAGACAGCGGTACAGGACTGATCCCAGCAGGGCTCTGCCCGGTGAACTCTGGGGCTGCCCACCCCAGGCCGGGGCTCTGCCCGGTGAACTATGGGGCTGCCGACCCCAGGGCTGCCCTCTCTGCTGCTCTGACAGGAAACTCTAGAGAGGAAACCCGGATGAGCGGAGCGGTGTTCGGTAAAGGGAAGGGACGTTCTCTTGTCGCCGCTCTGCTCACCGCCTCTCCAGAACCCTCCCTCCTCGCCCCCCAGCGCACTGAAGGCTGAGTCTCGCCTCTTGCTGCTTCCCAGCGATCTCTGTTACAACATCTTGATCTTAGGGGAGGGTCTCGGTGAGCCCAGCAAAAACAGCCCCCCGCTGCTCATCCACAGCTGAGACCTTGGATAGAGACAAGCCGGAGACATGGGACTTGGTGGAAGGATGGAAAGGGGAGCACAGATACAGGCAGAGGACTCGTGGCTGGGGAGGGGGTGGGCAGGGAGCTGGCACCAGCCGTGTTTAACATCGGTAGTTTTCTCACCGACAGGGGAAAGTTCTGTCCAGATCTCAAGGCATCAGGGCCCCCCCATCCCCCGGACATGCAGGGTAGAGGATGGTCCAAGGGCTGTTGCAACACCCAACGTTGTTTGATCATTTCTCTCATCGGTCTTGGATTTTCTAGTGTTGCAAAGGGCTCGTGGAATCACAACCGATTTTTTTTTTGCTGCTTTTCAAAGGCAGCCACACGCTCCCCTAGGAAAGCCACCGGAGCTGGAGTTTTGCTTCAAGTAAGTTGATCCGTTGGTGTGTCACATGTCTATGTCAATGCCTTAACTGTGCCAGCAGGAAAAAGGGGAGGGGGGAGATGATTTTCTAACATTGTCCAATCTGGGTGCTCAGCCAAGGCTGAGATAAGAGCCGGCTGCTCCTTCCTGTTCTACGCCACAGACCGGGGCTTTCACTTTTGTTTAGCTGCGGAAGAAGGGGGCAGGGAGCCAGCTAGGTTTGCTCTGATGTCGTTTCCTGTCATGTTGGACCTAGGGAAGAGGCGCAGGCCCTGGGCAGCAGTTCTGGGTGCCGGGGATGGACAGTCAATGGGACGGTAGAAGGACGGGGGTGGAATCCCCAACAGCTGGGTCTAGTGGGAACTGTTTCTTCCCAGTTTCCCGCGGTCTGGGATTCCGTGGGACACTTTCTCCTGCAAACTTTTACCGGCCACAGAGATTGTAACTGTCAGCCCTGACCCCTGGCTTCCCCCAGCTGCCTTTCCCACCCACCTGGGCCCAGCAACGTAGCTGCTTCAGAATTTTTTCCTGGATCCCCTCCCCTCCCAGCTCCTCTCTCAAACCCCAGGGCTGTATCTAGACTGGCCAGTTTTTCCGGAAAATCAGACGCTTTTCTGGAAAAACTTGCCAGCTGTCCACACTGGCTGCTTGAATTTCCACAAAAGCACTGACTTCCTACTGTAAGAAATCAGTGCTTCTTGTGGAAATACTATTCTGCTCCCGTTCAGGCAAAAGTCCCTTTTGCGCTAAGCTTTTGCGCAAAAGGGCCAGTGTAGACAGCTGAGATTTGTTTTCCGCAAAAAAGCCCCGATGGCGAAAATGGCGATCGGGGCTTTTTTGCGCAAAAGCGCGTCTAGATTGGCCACGCAATTCGCTTTTCTGCAAAAAAGTGCTTTTGCGGAAAAGTGTCCGTGCCAATCTAGACGCTCTGTTCCGAAAATGCTTTTAACAGAAAACTTTTCCGTTAAAAGCGTTTCTGGAAAATCACACCAATCTAGACACAGCCCAGGAGTTTCTCCCCCTCAGCGTTTGGGAGGGTGGGGCAGAATAAATGGCAGGTTATGTAGTTGGGTCTGGACCCTGCTGTGCAATGTCAGCATTGAAGAAGTTCCCCTCCTGCCTCCCCCCAGGGGTAACCGGGTGCCCTAGGAACCAGCCCAGATCTGCTGAATATTTCTTTAAAAAAAGGCATTTCCAGACAACCAGCCAGGAAACTAGAACTGGACCCAAACAGCTGTGAGCCTGCAAAGGCCAGAACTCAAGTCCCATGGGCAGAGCTGCCGACAGGGAGGTAAAACTAGAACCTGCACCCTTGATTCCCACCTCTCCCCAAATCCGCCATGGGAACAGCCGTGTCCTGCACACAAAGCTGTCCCCTGAAGGGTGCAGAACCCGGGACAATTCTCCTCCACCCCATGTCCAGCCCCTGCTCCAAGTCCCCTTCCCCCACTCACACCGTTGGAGGCTGGAGGCGTGAAGTAGACTGGGGCCTGTGAGTGTGGGTCCAAGTCCAACCCCTACAGCCGCAAGGTTTGTTCTGGGTTCCTGGGTGTCACAAGAGGGTGCTGTGATGCGGTTAATCGAGCCGTAGCACAATGCGTATGTAGCTCAGCGTTCACAGAACAAAAGAGACTTCCACAGTCTCTTAAACTTTCCTCTCACAGGTTTTATTGCACGCGCTTCAGGAGCAGTTTTAAAAGCAAGCGCTAAGCAATTAAAATGGCATTAAAAGACATCACAAGCATTAAAAGGCTTTAAAACAAAATTTAAATGGTATAATTAACCATCTAAATCTAATTCTTAACCCAATTTATCAGCCGAATTCTTAATTCAAAATAAAACACACACACACTCATACACGCATCTCATCCTCTGGGACTGGCCAGGCCCCAGGTAACGTTGATTAATTTGGTGGAGACAGAAGTCCAATGTGCACGTTGCCCCAATATGCTGAATCGATGGACTCCAACTCGTGGGGCAAATTGGTGTGGTATATAACCCCTCAGGGGAGGGGAAATCAGTCCATGGGGAGTGATATCCATTGGTTACACGTAGTCTGAGTCCGGGTGGGGTGATGTCTGTAGGTTGCACCCCCCTCCCTCCTTCTGCGGGTGATCTTGGAGCGTCCTGCTTACATCACCCAATTCTGCTTGCCTCGCCACGAGTGATAAGCAACAGAATATCCTTGACTAGGTCTTTCCCTTGTTACTCCTTCCTACCTGAGACCGTTGTCTCCTTCGATACCGTTTTGTCTCCTCAGCGCACATACCCAGTTCTCTTATTTCACACGGTCCTTTCTTTCAAAGTTGGAAACAAGTCCATAATCCTCCAGGGCACTGCCTTGAACCTTAGTACGGCCTCTCTTCAGCTCACTTACTGTTCATTCACTCATGCCAACCATTCACACTACCCATGATTCGTGACACGGGGAAACCCAAAGTACCGACCTTAGGGTGGGTGCCCCAAACCCTTCAGTGGATGGGTCGGCTCTTCCTGCTTACAAGAAGACGGGTGATGCTAAGAACACGTCTGTACCTTTGAGGGGGGTGCAACTCACGTGATCCCTGAGGACATGAAATTTGGTATTTTGGTCACTGAGAGAACTTATAAACTTCTCAATCTAGTCAATGACACGCCAATTCAGGGGGCTCTCCATGGCTCTCCATCCAAAGACATGGTTTGGAAGCCATTTCAGATGTCCCCTTGTGATGGAAGGTTGGCCAGCACTCCATGATGAAAGGGTGTACAGGGGGTGTTTGCAGGGAGCCAGGATAGCCAATAGCAGGAGGTGTTGAAATTTAAATCAGAAGTTACACCTGCTCTTTCCTTTGTGTGAGTTTTAAGCCAGGCGCTGGGGGAAGCAGGATGAATTGAACCAGGCAGGACTACCAGGCCTACAAGGAACATTGAGCATGGAAATGGAGTAGACTTTGAAGCGCAGATCTCTGAGTAGCTAGGGAATGTCTAGTTAGACATGATCTGCTTATTTTCTTTGTCTTGTTGTCTGCGTGAGCCTGCCTAAGGCAGAGAGGTCAGCTGACGGAGATTTCCGGTTGTTTTCTCTTTGTATTCCCAGCTCTCTTGTGGAAAAAGAGCTTGGGGTACCCCTCTTCCAAGTATTCCCTTCCGTGGTTCAGGAAGAAAGGGTGGGTTTTTTTTACTTGCTCGTGGCAGAAACCTCGCAAGGCCAGGGGATTTGTGACCCTGGGGAGTTTTTAAGCAGAAGCCTATAGAGACAAGGAATTTGTAAGGTCTCTTGGAGGGTTCCCCCTTCTGCTCTTGGAGTGTCAGAGCGGGGAACAGCCTTGACAAACCACGAGCCCAGCCTTTCCCCATAGGGATGAAATCCCCACCCCCTACCTGAGCTTTGGGAGGTGTAGCGGCTAGACTAGATTTTGCAGTTCATGTTGATCGCTTGTTCCCAAAGTCACTTTTGCGTAACTTCATTTTTTATTCCAGGCAGCCTACAAAGTAAGGAGCGAAATGCACCCAACTGGGAAGGGCAGGACAAGGGAGTGGGGAGGAGGAGAAGTGTGAGGGGGGATTTGATAGCCGCCTTCAACTTCCTGAAGGGGGTTCCAAAGAGGCTGGAGAGAGGCTGTTCTCAGTGATCACAGGTGGCATATCAAGGAGCAATGGAGAGGTCCAGATTGGATATTAGGAAAAACTATTTCACTAGCGGTGTGGGGAAGCGCTGGGCTGGGTTCCCTAGGGAGGGGGTGGACTTTCCATCCCTAGAGGTGTTTAAGTCCTGGCTTGACCAAGCTCTGGCTGGGATGGTTGAGTTGGGATTGGTCCTACCTTGGGCAGGAGGCTGGACTTGTAGATTCCTGAGGTCTCTTCCAGCTCTGGGATCGTCTACAATCAGTCAGGTCCCTGCCAGCTGGCCTGGCTGGTGCTGGGCACAGGGGTGTGTGGAACGGGTCCAGCTCCCCAGAAACGTACTGAAGGAACGGCCCAGTGACCCCAGGGGAGGAGGTGGGATGAAAGTGGCCCAGCAGGGCAGGAATGATGAGGATCTGCCAGAAACGTCACTTAGTTGGCTGACATGGGAGACAGCCCCAAACCACCGGGTCTGGTGGGCTCGTGTCCAGTACCCCCGGGGACATGATCTAGCAGTTTCCCAAGGAATGAAGCAGCCAAAGGGTTGGGATTTCCCAATGGGAGTTGGGCTTCAACCCAGCTCCTGACTCCCCTAGGCTCTCTGCCTTGACACTCCTGGGTCAGGGCAGGGGTGGGCAATCATTTTTGACCGGAGGCCACTTCAGTAATTTTTGAAGTGGCCGTGAGCTGCCCTAGAAGAGGTGGGGCCTCAGGCGGAAGGGGGTGGAGCCAGGACACACACATTTGTGATTCCCTGCTCACAGACCCTGATGGACTGGGGGGATGAGAAGGGTCGTTGCCCTCCCTAGAGAGAACCACCAGCTGTTCTAGGTGCCTGTGCCTCTGGTAGTGGGAGGAGACTTTGTGCTCTCCCCACCTGCCTCCCCCAGGTCAATTAGGGCTTGGGAGGGGAGGCAGGGAGCTGGCAAGGTCTCCTCCCGCCCTGCCCCCATCCTGCAGAGTGCACACTGCACCCCTGGCAGAACTTTGTGTGCTCCCCCTATCACCTGGCCCTGATTGTCCTGGGGGCGTGGGGCCAGCAGGACCTCTGGGGGGCACTTCAACCCACGGATGCACTTTTCCTTAATCTGGGGGCTAGAGGCTATTTGAGTGGAGTGATATTGGCAGGGGAGTCCATCTGAGAGGCTGCGTTGCTGCTATTCCGCAAAGCCGCCTTCCACCTGGACTCCTCCAAAGCACAAGAAGCGGTGCAGCTCTGGCCTGCTCCGGGATTCACAGCCGGGCTCCAGCCTGCAGCCTGCCAATCGTCTTTCGTATCCAGGGGACGAAGGCGGAGATTTTCGTGTAGACCCCGGGTGCTTTGCAATACCCCCAGGAGACGATGCCCCAGGCTTTCTCTCCACACACCAGGGGGCCCCCGGAGTCGCCCTGCAAAACGGAACAAGCCACAGATGGAAAACGGCTCATTTCCTGCTTTGCCCGGGGCAGCGACACCCCCAGCAACACCCTTGGTCTCTGCTTGGGCCCTTCCATGGCTCAACAGATCTCAGGCCCCCCCTCTTAATGCCCTGTCCTGCTGGTTTCTGCCTCCCCCTGAGATTTGCCAGTTAACAGCACCTGGCGCAGCGGGGCCTGATGGCTACTGACCACTCCGAATGGGAACTCCAACAGCCTCGTCAATCAGAGCCACTTATCTAGGGGGGTTGAGGCCAGAAGGGGAGGTACCTGTGCCGAGTCGTAAAACTGGGCTGGGTCCCCCACACACATCATGGTGGCGGGGTCGTAGCCACGATACAGCCAGTCCGGATTCCTCGGACACGCGGCGTCCGGCATCACCACCACGTCCACTTCCCGGAGCGTGTCTGGTAACAGCACAGCATCTGGCCTAAGACTGCCCCAGCCAGCGACAGTGCACAGGGTCCTTGGCTTCACTTCCTCATTAGCACGGGGCAGCTTGATGGTACCCACAGGGCTGTTCAGCTCCGCATCCATCTGCAGCTGAGAGACAGGAACGATGAAATTCAGTCTGAGGCCCACAGACAGAACTGAAAAAGCAGCCAATAGTGAAACAACTGACCCTCTAATCCTGTGATAGGGGTGGTACCTGCAGCAGTGTGAGGTCACTGGGGGTGGGGGATGGGATGGGGGTGGTACCTGCAGCAGTGTGAGGGCACTGGGGGTGGGGGATGGGATGGGGGCGGTACCTGCAGCAGTGCGAGGTCACTGGGATGGGGGGTAGGAAGGCATGT